TAGCAGCTGACGCAAAGGAGTTTTTTCTATAACATAATTTAATAAACATCAGAAAAAAATATGAGGAGATTTTGCTTATGTATCAGTGATTCCACTAGACTTTGCAAACTTTCTGAACTTTTGGGTCCTTTTTTACTCAAAGAGGGTCCCCAATTAAAATTATGAAAATCTCTACATTATTCATAAGCATAAAAATGAAATCTTTTATGATTAAGAAAAAAATTTAATTTGCAAATCCAGTAATAATAATTCTATGAATTAAAACTCTTAACTTAAGAATTAAAACCAGAATTTCTATATCAATTCAACTCAAAATTATTTCCATTTTCTACATCTGCTGACAATATAGAAGAACAAGATTTAAAAAAAAAATTTTTTTTTTAAAGTTTGCCCTAATAAATCTGCTAGTGTGCTATTATGAGTACTGTGTATACATCATAATTTTTTCCCCTGTCCTCCTTACTATTTCTGCAGTAATTGACATGCTATAGCACTTGAGTGGAATAGCTGTGTATTATACGTTTATGTGTGACACTTTTACAAAATTTGTGGTTTATTTATTGACACAAATCTCATCACATATGTATTCAATATATTTATATATAAGCACTAATGTATCAGACATTTATATATAGCATAATATATAAGTGAGAAATTACATTTCAGATATTAATAAGAGAAAACTATAAAAATATCAGCACAAATTATTAGTACTACATGGAAAACAATTTTTCATAAATTATTTATTTGTATGAAAATACGAAAAACAGAAGTTGTATCAGGTTAAAATTAAGACTGTTTAAATGTTCACCAAAATTGAAACTCTTAACTACTTATCAGAATAAATAGCCTTAAACTGGTAGAATTTCAAAGATTAAATCCTAACATCTTTTATTCGATTTAAATTTAAAAAAAAAAAAAAAGTAAGGAAAATACATTAGTATTATATCAAAAGAACCAAATATTTTAAAACGTTAAAAAATCAATTTCAAAAATACAATATAATAAAATAAAACACTGTATAATGGTAATGACATACAATGGTTACAATTCCCGTTCTAAAAATAGGAAACACTATTACACAATTCACAAAGATAGTAACAAACAAAAGACACCTAAAAATTCATATTTAGAAACAAAATTCACACTAATGAAGCTGATATTTTAATGCAATGAATAGAAATTTAAACAATAAGGATAGAAGAAAATATTACATAACATAATGTTAAAGCAACATAGATATAATAAATAAAAATGCATAAAATTACAAAACAACAAATGCAAATTAAAAAAAACAGAAAATAACTTACTCTAACATGGTTTTAAATGAAAAGGTGAAGTTTAGAAATATCATGATTTTTATGCATTATTGATGCATCTGGCCCCAGCAATTTCCACATGTTTTTAAAATCTATTTATTTTAAATATTATCACTACTAACATATTTAGAATCATGCATTTGAGTATTTAAACTTTCATACGAGCATATATGCTTAATATTTACCAATAATCTATATTAGAAATATAATGATCACTATGAATGTTCAATTAAGTTTAAAAAATGAATTATCGTTTTTAGATGGTTCAAATCAAAATTAATACATTCTGCATTAAATCTCATAAATAGCAATATAATTAGAAATATATTGGTGACATAAAAAACTTGGCATAAATATAAATTAATAATGCACAAAATAAATTATCATAAAAATTTTTTCACATGCTGTGGAAAAACTCAATTCAAAAATATTGATTATAATACTGAAACATTATTGTTAAAAATATTTTAGAAAAAAAATCCAGGAATAAAATACAAACATGAAAACAATTAAGGTTTTAGAGAGAAGTGGTCAATAAAATTTTCAACTTGATTAAATTTTAAATTATTTCAAATCAACGGCGTTTAGCAGATATATTGAGTATATAACTGAGTTATGAATAACGTAATTTTAATATCAGAAATTACGATTTCATCTTATCAAGGTAAAATGTCAGAATGAATTTCAAAGCGTAGCATGTTAAAATCTTAGAAGCAGCTAATTCTCAAAGCTATAAAGTTTTATTCTGCAACAAAACACAAATACAATTTATAAATATGAAGATAAAACACAGCTGAAGTGTCGCAGTTTGTATAAACAAGTATGTAAATGCAATAATTGATAAACTTTGGATAAATTAATAAATGCTCATAAAATTTTTAAATTTTAAGTAAAATTTTATTTTCAGCAATGCGCATTAATCGATTATAAAACCGTAATGTCTTGAAAATAGATCCAGAACACTTTTTTTAACGACCCTGCAAAATCAAAACAAATAAAAATTTTTTGTTGCCACAGTACTGCGGAGCGGAAAATTGTTTTTCAAAAATTATTCCTTTGAAAATGAGTGAGCGTTAAGCTAACTTTCCTTCATAATTTCTTCAAAACACTGTAACTGTAAAAGCCGTTCGTAGTTTTGATTTCGATGTTTCTGTGTTCAAAATTTAGCGTCTGGTCAATAATTATAAAATTTAATCAAATATTTTCGGGATTATTCGTGATTCCTTTTTTATTTCTTTGTGTTATTTCGTATTCGTTTTTATCATTCTTTTTTTTGAATAAATATAGAATAAGCAAAGATTTATTTTAAATTGTATTTAAATGCAAATTGTACATTTATTTTATTCGACGGTGTTTTAATATTTTAGTTATTTTATTCGCAGTTTTAGGAGTACTTTTTTGTGGAATTATGTATTTTTTAAACTGTATTATTTTATCAGAATGAAGATTTTCTTTTATGCTAACTGTTCTAAAAGAATATGTGCTTTAATTTTTATAAATCTATTTCCCCTCTGTTTCATTCATTATTGTGCTACCTATTTTACAATACTAATCTACTTATCCTACATACTAATTTCGCAATTTATAACACCATTTCTTATTATACTTAAAGTGTATTTATGAAGGTGTTATCTGATTCAAACTATTATTTTCAGTTACTGTTATTTGAAATTGTAAAATTATGTTAACAGTGTTTTGTTAAAGTACCGCAAATTACGTAACGTGTGCATTGATCAAAAATTTACAAGCCAAATTTAGAAGAAAATTAGATTTTTACTAAAAAATCATGTTGTTGTAAAATTAAGCTTTTAGATAAAAAATATTATATCTATACCTTTTTATATTATGGATAAATCTTTTTAAACATTGAAAGTTTTTTATTCAAAATTCATTGTTCAATAAATAGTTAATTACTCTATGATTATATTATTTAATTGTTGCTGTTATTTTATTCACATTTAAGTGACAGATAAATCAAACAATTCATGATAATGTATAATAACCATATATTTATTTATTTATTTTTGTTTTATTAAATGCATCATTCAAATTCTGTAGGGATCTGTCTAGGTTTTTCTGAGAGGTACCTGTTTTGTGAAAATTTAGACATAATGTGTGAAAAATTATATTGAAAAGTCAACACAAAAATATGGTGAAAATTTTATCGTTTCTTAAGGGATACAAAAATAAAATTTTAAGAAAAAGTATTTTGTGAAACCGTTTGCTAATCGTTTACTACCGTTTTTCCTAAAGTTGAATTTCTGAAGGTACCGCTAAAGGGTAGTAAATTAAGCCTAGGCAGACCCCTGTTCTGGATATTTGTTTGACACCCTATTTAAAGAGATTAATTTTTTCAGCATACCTTCCAATTTTTAAGTCTGATGTAGCTTTTTGCAACATGCAAATTTTATTGTGAGATGAAACAGTATTGTATCATTTACTTAATGATTTAAGAACATTTTTCAATGTAAAATTTTGTTTAGTGATGAAGTTTTTCTCAAAAATATTTTGTTGTTGTTGTAATGCAAAATGTATTTTATATTTTTAATCTATGAAAAATTCAATTATATAAATGAAAATGTGAATTATGAATTGTCTATCGGAAAAGATTTAATAGTATAAAAAAATGTTTTATGTAAGATAAAAGTATGCTGAAAAAAGTGTGTTTTGTAATTATTAAATAGTAATGTTTACTGGAAAAAAAGCACGTTTTTATTTTTAAATGTTGTATTATATACTGTGTTTAAATGTTGCATTATATTCTTTTAATTGTTCCTAATAAATTAAATGAAGCATTGTAAGCAGAAAGTTGCTATGGTCACTTAAAGTTAGTTTTTAAGAAATTCTCATTTTTACTGATTTCAGGTTTTGTTATGTATATTATTAAATTATGCATGCGATTTTTCATGTGTACTTACCAATTTTATGAAAGAAAGGTTTAAAGTATACATGGTTTTTCAGTTTATTTATTATATTAATGTTATAAAGTTATATAATTGTGATATTGAAGTTATTATATCTAATTCTTATTTATTTTTAAGTGTAGTTTTAATAAAAAGTTGAATTTTTTAATTTTAAATGTTAAACTGACATCTTTTTTAACATTAATTGTATTTTTTAAAGATATCTTTCTGGTGTTATTATTGATTTAAATTATTTTACTATTTATAATTTAAGGTTTATAATTTTAACTTATATAGGTTATATTTATATTATTGATTTGAATTGAAATATAATTCATAAATAATGAGATAAAATAGTTTATAATTATTTTATATAATATTTTAACTATCAGGCTACTTGGAAAAATTTGCACAAAAATTTCCCTACATGATATCATTTTTATTTTGAATTGTCAGTTTGCAATGTCAGAAAGCATCTATGTCCTACTTCAAAACTAAAGTTTCATTTAATAGCTATAAAAATAATTATTTTATTGTACACAATTAATGCATAGTTAATAGACTATTCTTACTGAATCCGATTGCCCTTAACGCACATGGGAGTTTAAAAACTACATGTAAGCGGAACTGCTCATACATGCAGGAATTTCATGGGCAAATGGCATGCTGTAAAGAATGGTCTATTATAGATAATACCTTTCAGTTTTTCATTATTTATTTTCTTATTAACGTAATTTTATTCAATTTTGAAAACGGTAAATGTATTTTATTTTTATAGGTATAAATGTTCTTTCAACTACTTCAAATAAAAATCAAATGATTAAATCAGGCAATAAAATTTTGTTGCCGTTATCTCTACCTTCTGGTCCTCAACTCTTTCTCATTAACAGTGGCGTTTGGGAGCAGCCCAGTGAAATAGAAATCGTGAATGAATTTTCTTTGGGTAATTCTAACGCAGAAATTAAAGTAGAGCCTCCTGATGTGTTGGATGAAGTGTTTGATAATTCAAGTAGGCTTTTAAGTTTCAATTATATATCACCCCAATTTTAATATTTCTTTTTCAAGTTTTAAATGTGATGTTGTACAAGAGTTGTGTTTGGAAATTTTTTGCCAAGAGGGTTGCAATTAAAAAAAATTTTTTAATTAAATAAAAACCTAAAAATTTATTAAACACACATGATTTGTCTTAGGCGTTTTTTTAAGCTCTTTTTCTGAAGTATTTTTAATGAAATTTTTTTGGATCAGATATTATACATTTGCTATGTCTGTTATTGAACATTTTTCCTGGTATTTATCAATTTAAAGTTTAACATAGGAAGGTTTATATTTAAATTATGTAGCTGTAGAATCTTCTTACCTACATAGTAAAGTATTTTTTTATTTTAAAATTGCTGTTTAAAAATTTCTGAATTTTTTATATAAATGTCTGTTACTAATAAAGTTTAATCACCATTTAAGACATTTCTGTAAAACATTAAATTATGCAACTGCTAAATGTATGTTCCAATCTCTGTAACAGAATTTTTTTCCGGCTTTCTGCTACAAACCTCTCTAGCACTGATATCTTTCTGCAAGATACTTTTAATAATAACAAATATGCATGTTATTAGTTTAAGGTAAAAAAATGTTGCACTTTCAAAAAAGAAAAAAAAAAAACCTATTCAGATGAACTAAAATTATATACGTTGGGGTAAGTGGGTATACGTTAAAAACCATCTATTTTTTTCTTTTAAGTTCAGATAATTTATTTAATATTTTTAGAGACATTTAGTGGTATTGCAGGTTGAATTGCAGCATTCACTATAGTATGTTAGTTAAAGCTGTTGATGAAGTTTTTTCTTGTTAACAAATTTAATAATAAGCCAACAAGAAAGAATAGACATAATATCATGATCTCCTTTACCAGAAGTGTGTAACTTGTTTCTGGTAGAGGAAGGAGGAGGACGTTTTTGGTAGGAAAACCTGTTTTTGTCTCCCGAAAACATTATCCTCCTTGATGAGCATAAACCAGTCTCACTTCCAATTGCCAGAGTTATTATAATTCCTTCTATTGTTTTTATTTGTTCAGTCATTTTGAAATAATTTTTTTTAATGTGCAGCCTGCAACTGTATGTAAAAAAAAGAGTTTTTTTCTTGGTAATTTTTCTAAAATCAAAAACTGTTTTATATTTTCAGCTTCAAAATTTCCGATTATTAATGCTGATACCCCTCTGCCCACATTTAGCGATATGATATATGATCATTTGCAAGAAAATAATGTGAGTGCTGTTTGGGGAACTTTTGTAGATGAATGTGCCAAGTACTATTTTGGAAAGTACCCTAACATACAGAATAGTAGTGAATATCAAGCAATTGGTCGAAAAATGTATGAAACTTATCCTGCTATAGGTTATGAAGGAAAAGAACCATGGGTAAATATCTATTATACGTAATTTTATACTCTAATATAATATTTAAACAATAAAATTTAATCCAATTTTTCTAATAGTGTATATTTTATTAAATATTTCACTTTATAGGTCTTTTTTAAATTTAAACAAAAATATGAAACTTTACCAACTATGTTTTTAGAATAAAACTTTAAAAAAAGAAAAATTTTACTTTGTGTTAAAAATTAACAAGAAATTTGTTCTGCTTTTTATCAACATTGCCTACATCTGCCACTTCCTGGCAGGGTTTGTGGTTTTTTTCTTAACTAACTATTCATTAGAATCGTACTACTTGTTATGAATTTGGCAAAAAGCAATGCCAAATGTCTGGTGGCTTTGTTTACATTTACCCATCAGTTCTCGATGAACAGAGTATAATTAATTATTTTTATTTTATGTTTCTAACATACAAAATGTTAGCTTATATTTTAAACTTTTCAAGAGAAATTAAGCTTTTTTTTTTAATTTTTCAACAATTACTTGTAAAAACAATACTAAGAATGTTTAAGAACTCATCTCCAAATGCTGAATTTTCTCTAGGTAATGGTTCCTGACTATAGAACTGAACAATTTAATTTTTATTTTGTTCAGTTTGATCTTCAAACGCGTTAATAGTTTTGTAACAGCTATCGAAATTACAGCTATTATTTTCTTTCTGTACCTAGAACTTTGATAGGGAAATTTTTTGGTATTAGTATTAACTTTTTTCAATTTATATTGAAGAATAATGCTTGGCAGAGGAGATTTTATGTTTTGAAGGCAAAACAAGGAGTGAGAATTTTCCTCAGATCTGTGATTTTTGGCTCTTTTTATGATTATATATATATATTTATATCTTTACCATTTTCCAACATTTTGTTAGTTTTCAAGAATGTTAAAAAAAAAACTGTTCTACAAAAAGTAGTGTTCTTTTATGAATTTCTCAAAATTTATTAAAAAAACTATTTAAATAATTCTTTACAACCGTTGATTGATAAAGATTGTGGTCGAGACTTGAGAAATTGGATTTTTTAAAGTATAAGATCATACACTAATTTGTTTTGTTAAGTTATAATTATTGCTAATAAACTGAGATTGAATAATAATGAGAATCATTATTTAGCTTGATCAAATTTTCGCATTAAAACTGTTTTATTTTTATGTAGCAATTAAATCTTATTTAATTTAAACTATATGTTACTATTACATCATCATCCTAAGGTAATTTTAACATTTTTCTGATGCTATTGTTTTTTGGACCTGCTGATTCAATAGTGCTATATCAAATCTAAAGTTTTAAGTTTGGAAAATGTACTATAATTAATATTACATGATACTGAATTTGATTCATGGTATATGAATCATTATTTAAACAGTAATATATTTAGTTCATAAAGTTATAAAATAGTCTCCTCAATTATATTTCAAACTTTTAATTTTTCATTTCTCATGTATTTCTTGGTTTCTTCATTTTTGGAATCTAGTGGCTGTGAAAAATTTTCTTTGGGTTATTGAGCAATTTGTTTCATTGAATTCTTAGCAATAAAAAAATATTCAATGTTACCCGTAGATAACTAAACATTTGGGAAATAGACTTTTGCTTGTTTTGCCAACATAATACTTCAACGTCTTCGATAAGGCAAATGTTACATTTATCACTTATGGACATTTTTGAAAAGAAATTAATCAATATTCTTTGCAAGCTACATTGTTTTTTTTGTCATAAATAAAAGTAAATTTCAGGGCTGTCAGTTGGTCCCTACTTTCCTAAATGTCCTATATTTTTTTAAATTTGGTCCTTAAAATAACCTTTTATAACTGAGGTGTAAGTCTTCTCTTTATTTAGTTTAAAGTTCACACCATTCATTGTTACATGTAACTCAGTCTATGTAGAAGTAGAGCATTCAATTGAATTAATTTCAAATGTGTTTTTTTATTCTATCTTCAAAAAGGTTAATTAAAAAAAATATGATGTTTCCTTTGATAATTAATTTTTTCTACACATATTTGATTTGCCTGAATAATTATGTGCATTTTTGGGGATCTTAAAAAAAATCTCTAATTTTTAATTATTAGGTCTCTCAGTACTGACTATTTTGGTCCTAATATACTGGTAGCTCTGAAATGTTTTGATTAAATATGTATGTTTTTATTTTCTGATCTATACATTGAATTATAAGCTACTGTAGTAACATTAATTTAATTTAGTAGTCAAGGGTTTAAGCCTGTGCATTCAGTAAGAATTATAAAACTGTCTTGAATTATCGAAAATTGAGTTATAGATGAAGTAGTAGATGTATAGATATTGTTTCCTCTTAACGCTGCTTTTCGAAGCTCTGTCGCCAGGGGAAAAAAAAGCCAAAGTGTAAGTGCTTTACTCTTGAAGCAATGTAATGATTTTAAACTATGTACATAATCTTTGCTGTGAAGAATTATCTGGGCTTTAAAACAGACAAATAACTTATTTTAAAAGTTATTAAACCTTTTTTAAGAATCGTCAATTTAACGAAATTTTTTAACTTTGATGAAAATTATCAAAATCACTGCCTTATTCTCAGTGTTTGCAATTTTTATGAGTCCAGGTAATGCAGCATCGGAGTAAGTTTTTCAATATTAAAAAATTAGACCACAAACACTTTTCATGTTCACAAAACTGTGGCTTTTCTACATACTGACATTTTGCACCATTTTCAAAATAAGTGTAGACAGCACTGGTTTTAGATAGGCTGAACTTCATCTAATTGTCACGAGTAACAGTTGCAAACTCACAGCAGTTCTAAACATAGCAAAAAAGCATCAAATTCCTTAAGAAAGCATCATTTCATGCAACAAAGGAGCCTTCAAAAAACAGCTTTACAGAAAGTTACTTATCTGGTTGACATAGCTTAGCAATGTGTCCCTGAAATGGGGAAATAGTGCTTTTTCAATTGTTTTGTTAATGACCATCATTTTCTTATACATAATTAACAAAATAGACAGTTTCTAAAACTTTATAGCCACCATATTTTAGCAGCAGACTTACAGATACGGAGATTTAATGATATAAATATTTGTGAAAAAATTTTTAGTCATAAGAATTTGTTGTAAATATCATGTACAAAATAAATTAAATATTGTCAGTTAGTCTTTAGAATCTATTAAATTTTTTGACTTTCATAATTTGTTTGCAAAGAACATTATTTTAGCAATTGAACACCAAGTTATCATGTTAATACAACTTATTTAAATGTAAAAACTATTTAAGTGTATTAATTGCTCAGTAGTTCCTGCATTTAAATTTTATCTAATTTCACATATTTTGTAAAATATATTCTCAACTATAATTTTATCATTTATTTATCAGTATTAAGATCAAATTAATGTATTTATTATTTTAATATTTACTAAGAAATTTACATTAGTTTATTTTAATTTTTTACTTACAGTCCTTTTTCTGCAAATCATTGAGCCAAAAAATTCGCCATATGAAATGGAAATTAAAGCGAAAAAAACTTGGATTGACAACTAGGCGACCCATAAAGGCTAAGGAAGGAGTGAATAGTTTAAAGTTTCATAGTTATAAGCCAAAAGTTGATCGAAGGTATACACCAAGTAAGCTCTACAAAGCTCTTTTAAGAGAGCTTTCCATAGGATGGTATAACGATACTATCTTAGAGACTCGAATTTACGATATCTTAAAAGCGACTCACAAAGGTCGAGTTACTTGGTTGTCAAACCGTTCACATCGAAAGATGTCATCTCTAGTCAATGACTGTCCATGCTTTTCAGTTGGAAAATATGTAAGTATATTATCTTTGTATGGATAAGTTACCTCATTAAAGATTGATAGAAAGTTTTAAAATGATAGATATTAGTTATAAATGTATTTGTTAACTTTAAATTCGAGATTATGTTATGTTTGCTAATTAAAGAAGAAACTAATTTAAACAGGGATATTTTCTGGTAATTTATACTTATTCTAAATATTTCATATCTTATCCTTTCTATGGAGTACTATTTAAAACAGAAAAATATTTTTAGAACGAAAAAAAAAACTTTATGGCTTCCAATAAAGATGTCCAATACTAGAGGCTGAACTAGATCACTTGTCTCTTATTAGAATAATATCTAGAGAGAAATAAAAATCTAGCTTCTCTTCTTCTACTCATCCCAATGCTCAATAACGTCATAATATGACATTTACAAATAAAGTTTTTTTTACCAGATCTGTGATAGAATTGGTTCTGTTGTAGAATCGGGGACACCTTGTTTTGCCGATAACTTTTGTTCAGTTTTGCTGAAATCCCATTTCTGGTTACCATTATATACTTTGCCGTCTTAACTCTCAATGACGTCACCTTCAGGTTACCGCAACTTATGTTTACCTTTATGTAATTGATTCTTAGTTTATTAACAAATATGATCGTTTATTTGCAAATCGCCAAAAACGAGAGGGAACTATTACTATGGAATCTTATTTTTATGGTCACCCTAAGCGTAAAATGAAGTTAATTTCACTAGTAATTAATTATATGATTATTATGCCTTTCAAAGTAGGCTTGGTATTATATGTCTGTGTCTCTCAAATGTCAAAGTTCTTAATAAAAATTAGTAGGTCAATTCAAAGTACTAAATAAAATTTATGTTTTTGCACTTGTTTAAACATTTGTTTTACCATCCATCTCCAAAAGATTAATCAAGGTGTTTGATTGCCCTACACTCATTTTTTTCAAGGTTAAATGTCACTACCCGGTGCACATTTGCCCGATATACCCCACAATAATATTTTTTTAAAAGATATTTGTTGTTCAATAGTCTTGCTTTTATTGTTTGATTTTTTTTACGGCACAGAAAAAGGCATCCTATTGAATGAATGATTGTCGTATTGTTATGGTCATATTGTTCGTGTGGTGAACTACCATTAATTAATTTTTTTGAATTATAAGTTTTTATAGCCCTTTTTATTATGAAATAATCTCAAATTTAGGATTCAATGTAAGCATTAAAATGATTTGCTGTTGATGTTTTTGCAAAATTCTATAAATTCTAGTTCAATGTCTTCCAACGCTATAAGCAGGATAGCTTTTTCAGGTAAGACCTTATATGTAGACAGCTTAGACCTAATAAATCATTGACAGTAATAATAAACGTATGAAATTGAAACAATTAACATTGCAAAATTGCTACAAGTTAATCAACTTAGTTATAGGTAAGGAAACTAACTTCTGTAATTAACCAATTAATACTGTGTAAAAATTAATTTGTAGTAAAAATTGTTTGACCAAATAATTGTACTTAAACACTGGGTTATACAAAATTAGGCTGATTTATTTATGGTAACATTGAAAAAATGGGCTTAGATATTTTTAGTTTGGTACTTTAAAAAAAATTGAAGTTGTTAATATTACATATTAAACTGGAGCTGTAACATTTTCATTGTGACTTTCATAAATAGGTTATAAAAGAATTTCTTGAGCATTTGGATAAAACAGATGTTTTAGTAATGTTACAAAGATTTGAATCACTGTTTTCTTCTGTTGGAGCATTGATGGATCCTCCTGTAAATAATTCAGTAAGTCCGATCAGCTATTTAATATCTTTCAGATACTGGTTTAAGACACTGATATAAATATTTGTCATAATTTCTTAAAAATTCCAAAAATATATGATAAGATGCTATTAGTACCTGATAGAACAAAGCTTTTTTTTTATCAGGACTTTAAATAAATAAAATGGACAATTCAAAAATTAAAAAGGAGAAAAATGTAATTAAAATGGAACGAAAGAGGATGAGGTGTAAATAAATCAAGAAAATAACTTATGCCGTGATTTTTTTTTTAAACTTAAGTTTCCTTATTTTAATTTCACTGTGACTTCTACAACTTTTCTCTCTATATACCGAAAAACAATTTAGCTCTAACCATTGAAAAAATTAAAATAATTTAAAATAATTTCTTTATTTTCAATCCCCTTTTTTTAGAAATAGTTTAAAGGAAATGAAATATCAAAATTGCAGTTTATTTGTAAAAATGTTGGTGTCTGGATAATTTCACAATACATTATTTGTCTTAATCTAGCACAGTTTTTTTTTTTTTTTAACTCAGCACATTTGTAAAGTCAATCTTCACTGTATTAGTATCACAAGCAGATTATATAAAAATTATTTAATAAAAAAATGCCTTGATGGGTTTTAATAAAAAAAAGTTAAGGTTTTAATGTAAGAGCTAGTTCCTTAATCTCTGAACTAGGTACGTTCTTCCTTCCTCAGAAAAAGCACTATTGTGAAAATGATTGGCCACTCCTAGCCTAGAGGCTAAAAAAAATTAATTAATAAAATAAAATAATTAAATTGTATTTTGTAAGAGGTATGAAAAGGCTTCGAATTCTAACAGTGAAAAACATTGTTTGAAAAAAAAGGTTTCAAAGTGTTCCATCAACCCTTTAATTTATCATTATTGAAATTTCCTTTAAAACAATACTTTATGAGTCATTCTACATTATCGAGCTGTCAGTATTTAAAATTGATTTTTTTCACACTTATCCATTTTATTATTTACAAATATTTAAATAGACCATATATGATCTATTAAGTCCATTGTTTTTTTCTTTTCTTTTTAGAGTTTTAAGGAAAATATAAAAATACTGAAATATATTGAAGAACAAATAGCTTTCCATAAAGGTCGAAGTAGTTATCATTGCAAAAGTATTGTTGCTCATAAAATTGTAAGTAATACTTACATTTTTTCATAATTAAGTACCTTTAAAGCTTGACATTTTCGTAAATTACTTATTCTATAATTTTAATATGATATTAACATGCTGTAAAAGGGAAATTTTATGAACTAAAAAAACAGAAAATATGTTAACTTTAAATGAGATTAAATGTTAATTGAACCTTAGTAAGTTAGTGCCTGTTCTAATAAGAATATCATACCTGTCAATTTTTCTCTTAGCAAAATGATTTTCTGATGTTTTAATATATGCACGCTATTTTGGTGACTAGCAAATTGCTAGTTAAAAAGAAAAAATTAGTAGAAAAAATTTTTAGTGTTTTCTGATGATCTGGAATTTTGACGGTTTATATGTCTCTTTTATGTGATTTTTTAAATTTCAATACGATATTATCTTGACATGCAAATTTTGAATTAGAGTTACTGCTTCTTCAGGAATAGCTATACTTCCATCATAGATCCTCTTCGTTTCTGATCATTTTTTCGGTATTTATTAATCTTTCCCCACAAGAACTTTAAACTTCAGTATTTTTAATATGATAATGTGGTACCCGAAGTTTGAATTTGAGTACCTAATCACTTCTTGATGAGCTTTATTCGCCACTATTGCATCATTAATCCACATCATTTTCTCAGCAGTTATTTTTCGTTTTTGCCCTCTCTTTTTCGTGGTTTTTCAAATAAGGATATTTTTACGACACCCGAATTTCAAATTTGACTGATCACTTTTTGACACGCTCAATTCACAACTATGCTGTTGTTAATCAATGTCATTTTAAACGTTTTTTTGGCAGTTGTTTCATGTTTAACCTAGCAATTTCCATTTGCTTTTAAAATCGCTTTATTTTTAATATACACTCTATAACAAAAAAATCGACGCACCAAGGAGTTGTCCGATTGAAACGAAAATTGGTGGATAGGAAGACAATATACAGAATAGTAAATGATTAAAATTTCAGAACAATTGAATAATTTATTGCAGAGTTACAGTAACAAGTTCAATAAGGTGTTGACCCGCCTCTAGCCTGGATACAAGCTGCCACACGGCGTGGCATAGACCGATAAAGCTCCCGGATGGTCTCTTGCGGTATTTCCTGCCAAATTCGATCCAATTGTCGAACGAGGTCATCAACATTCCGTGCCAGATGCAATCGCCTTCCCATCATATCCCAGACATGCTCGATGGGAGAGAGATCTGGTGATCTGGCAGGCCAAGGAAGAGTTTGACAAGCTTGCAGACAGTTCATAGCAACACGTGCCGTATGTGGTCTGGCATTGTCCTGCTGAAAAACCAGCCCAGGGCGCTGCAAAAGGAACGGTAGCAAAACAGGTCTTAGGATGTCGTCGACGTACCGCTGTGCAGTAAGTGTACCTCTAATGACGACCAAAGGGGTCCGGCTGTCAAAGGAAATGGCACCCCAGACCATAATGCCTTGTTGAGGGCCGGTGTGGCGTGCAATAGTGAAGGCAGGATCCCCCCTCTGCGTCTCCAAACAAGTCTTCGATGATCGTCTGGACACAGTTGGAAGCGGGAAAGTATCAGTGAGATCTTATCTGTGTTTAAGCTTCCACAAGAGCATAAATGTTTATTATTTACCGTTCAGTGATAATTTTATTGCAATAAGTCACACAGTTATGTGTCAAATTCTATGCAAAGGTTTCGCTGCTCGTTATTAAATGTGTTTTGTATGAAATGATCAGTTGAGTAGTGCTTTATATGTACTGTACACAATTGGGTATTTGGAAAATATTCATCAAAACATTTTTGATTTTTTTTCTTTTGTTTTCATTCATAAATTCTAGATATTTCTTGATCAGAAATAATTAATTTATGTTTTAAAATGTTCAGAAATAAAAAGACTATAGCTTTATATATTGTTTTGATAACTTTAGAATAAAAAAAAATTAAAAAAAAGTACTATACCTACCAAAAGTTGCTACTTCAAATTTTAAAATGAAAACTTGTTTATAGTTGTATAGGGATTTGCTGTCTTCTGTATTTTATTATGTAACTGTAACAACTTGCTAAAAAAGGTTATTTAAAATCAATAAATAATTTGTATTTATTGTGTTCCATATCTGAAACAGATGAAGATATGACAAAACTCTATATGATTTTGATTTATTTATAACTAGCTATCTTTTGAGACCAACTGATCTTTCTTCAACTATATTTTCTACTCTTTATGTTAAAAGTAAAAAGTGTGATAATTACTATTATTCATTAATAAAGTATGATTAAGTTTGTATTAAAAAGGTTAGATTTAAAGTAAAGGAGAAGTAAAAAATTGTCACGATTCAATATGTATATTCTGCTTTAATTATTTTGCACCTTCTAGCAACTAAATGCAGTGATATTTCTTTCAGAACATTCCAGAATTGGAAATCTTGCAGAATGTACAAAGTATAGAAAACTCATCGCCTTTGCTGTACATTTTTAGTGATGGTGAAAAGATTCAAAAAGCATATGTGGCTGGTGACAAAACTGTCATTACAACCGATACGACTAACTTCTACGAAGCTCTAATCACTCTCATTGCTACGTATTACGCATTTTCACTCGACTATCCCAAAACCTTTGCTCAGGTACTCGGGTTGTTCCAAACATTTATAGTTGGTGAATCCTACAAGGGGATGCAGAGCAGTAAGTGCCAAGCATTTATCAAGAGACTCTCTGCTAATTTAGTTCTGGGAGAGTAAAACTTACATTTGATCTTAACATCTCAGAGAGGTCATTAGAAGTAAAGCGTGAAGTTTTCTGCAATTGCTGTATTTGTCATTTTTTTCAACCCTATTGCATTTAAAACAATTTCTAGCTTAACCTTAATTATTATCAGTTCCAATTACAATCAAACGTTTTGGCCATATTTGCCATCATAGTTATGATACATTATGTAGTTTTTTAAATGACTTACATTGATTAAAACTATTTCTATTAATACCAAACAATAAATATTGAAGGGGTTCTAATTTAGACACTGTATTTTCAATGGTGGGCTTTGAGTGACTCGTGGAAGAATAATCACAAATGAGGCTTTCATTTTTAATAAATGTTTTGAATGACTCACAATATTTTAGTTATTAACTCACAGAATTATGAATTGATAAACTATCAAACAAATCATTACTAATGTAATAAAATAAAAAACAGTGACATTGTCGTCCATAAAAGCAGCCGTTTTTAAAATTAATTCTCAAAAAGAAAATCATGGTAATATTGCCTGTGAAAACCATCCTATAATCAAGTCATTATCACCATTCAAACTTTTGAGATTCATATGCTCAACAAGTAAAAATATTAATTGTTTTTCCTGTCAGGTTGCACCTTTTGTTTCGAATTTCTAGCATAGAAATAAGGTAATCTTACCACTCAGAAGCAGAGTTTTATATTTGCATGTCTGGAAAAGCTATAACATTATTTTTCCCCTCACATAAAGTATGAAACAGAAAGGATTCAAAATGTCTAGAAACTGCAGATATATTATAGATATCTTTTTATTCATAAAAGTAAACCAAAGGACTGAAAAGAATCCTATCGGTTATTCATTTAATTATGTTAGAAAAAAATATGTAACGTTCACCTATAAATTGCATAAACTTTAAAGCTTCTTGAATTGTGTTATTAAAATTACGGGATTTACTACAATGATTAAGATATAAAAAATTTAAAGAGTTGAGCAATGTGAGATAAAAACAAATTGTGTCGAGATCGATTGATATTTTCTAGAATATGCGTGCTAAAAATAGTTTTGCCCCCTGAATTGGAATCGAAAAAGTAGTAACGCAATATGCGTCTCTGTTATTTAAGTTTTAATTTACATTAAAAAAATAATCATACTGCCTCCAAAGTAAATAATAAAATAAAAATCATCAGGCATATCTCTCTGAATTAAACCTTGAATTTCATTACAAAAATTAAATCACAATATCGTGAAATCTTATCAACTTAATTAAGCATTTGTCAGTCAACGAGATAAAAAAAATCAGATTAATATAAAGAAAAAACAAAAGTATTTTGGATAATATGTTATAGGATCCCAAAAATTACACACTATTTAAAAAATAAAAAACAGAAGAAAGTATAAATTTGTTGCATTCTGCATAGAAAAAGATCACCCAGATTTAAAACTAATTTAATATGTTTTTCAATGGTAGTATTACAGAGAAAAACTATGTTTTCAAAATAAGCATTACTGCAAAAACCTAGCACAGTTTGACGTTAACATTTTTAGATACCCATGCCAAGATCTTTGTTGGGTTGGTCCGATATGCAGCAAAAAATATTAGAAAGGTTTAGTACTTAGTAGCACATACAGGCAATGTGTACAGCGCAGTTAGTATAGAACAGGGATGGCGAACCAATGGCACGCGTGCCATTTATGGCATGTGACACAATATTTTGGGCACGCCACCGATCACAAAGTTCACTATGAAGCATATTACCAATTAAATTAAAATTCACAAGCTAACAATAAATAACTAGCAAAAAAATTAACCGATCCTGCTTAAGCTAACATCTTATTACCCTAATATAAGTTACTTGTCATCTAATCTGCAACAACAGAAGTCACACTGATGTTACTTTAAGTCGAATTACGCTGGTAACTGAGACATTGCAAAATGTATTTTTTTTTCGTAGTAAATAAAGAGTTTTGAGTTGATAGTATTAAGATTTNCTAATTTAATATGTTTTTCAATGGTAGTATTACAGAGAAAAACTATGTTTTCAAAATAAGCATTACTGCAAAAACCTAGCACAGTTTGACGTTAACATTTTTAGATACCCATGCCAAGATCTTTGTTGGGTTGGTCCGATATGCAGCAAAAAATATTAGAAAGGTTTAGTACTTAGTAGCACATACAGGCAATGTGTACAGCGCAGTTAGTATAGAACATATGTACTTAAACATGTGGGATGCTGTGCTGAAGTAGACATCGCCATCTATTGCCAAACCTTTTTACCAGACATGCAAACTTGCTTCAGATTGCTGATATTTTCTAGTAGTAGTAACATTTATGTTTTAATGTACGATTCTTGATTTAGTAAATTCTATTTGTAGGGTTTTTAGCCATCACTGCTTATAAATAATTCTTATTCAAAGGCTTTTATGAAACCTAATTTCGCCAGTTATTTTGCGCAGAGCCTTTAAAAGAGTTGACAAAATTCATCGAAAATGTGCAAAATTTTTAGTTTATAGTTCTCGGCCACTTTTTAAAATATTTTGCAGAATTTGGAACAGTTGGCGTATCTTTTTAACTAGTCCTAAAATAGGCGAGGATAAACACTTTGTTTCCTAAGTGGAAAGCAGCAAACTGTACATTTCTATCTCTTTATGTTTTCCTTTAAGTGAATTTTTTAAATTATCAGTTATTTTTTATACTACTAGATATTCTAACAACGAGGACAAGTTCTATTTAATGCACAAGATCGCTCGAGATAAGCATTTCTCATGCTATCATTGTGGTTTTAAATTTAATCATATGTTAAGTCGTTAACATTTTTGATTAGTTTTTAATATTAAATTTGTTGATCGACCTATGATTTAAAGTCTGCAATTTGCGCCACATGTAAATGTATTTAACATTACACTTTCTATGCTATGATAAAATTATTTGTATGTAAATGTATTTATGAAAATTATGTATACATTTTGTATTTAAAAAAAAATATATTAAACAAAACTGTATATATTTATCCATTGCAGTTTTTGAGATTTCTTCACTTTGCAATTACATTTATAAAAAAATTAAACTTTGTTTTCAGTATTGTTAATATTTTTTCACTTTGATTTTATAGTTATTTTATTTTGTTTAAATGAGTGTGGGAAGTCTAGTTATTAACTATAGTTTTTGTTTTGTTTTAAAATGTTTTGTAATTTTATGTGTTTCATTTGTATAAATATATTATGTATCTGTAAATGTGTATATTTAATGTAGTGTAGTAAAATAACCTTCATTCACTAAATGTTAAAGTATTTATTTATTCAGTTTCAATGAACATTTTATATCTATTATTAATTTACTCTTTAGCAAATCATTGTCATATATAACGATTCTTTGCTATCTTAATATTCAAATAATTGATTTTAAAAAAGTACTATGGTTCTTTCTAAAGGATTATAAATTTTACATTTATTATGTGAATTTCTTTAACAAAATAAATTTATTTAACAAAAAAGACAAATCTTAAATTTAACCTGCAGTCTTCTCCGCATAGCATAATTGGTTTTCCATGTTATTAGATAGGGAAATAGTATATTGTGGTGAAACATTCTCTCAATTTTACCCATTTTCTAAGCCTCCCGTGGGTTAAAGAATTTTCTTAACATTCTCCATTAAAATGCATACATAGATGAGAAAGTGTTATAATTTCAGTCTGGAGGAGGAGAGCCATCCTTTTTCTAATAGTTATAAAATACATTTAAAAAACTTGAAACAAAAGTTGGTAAAATTGAAAGTCGTAAAATCTTAAGGAGTATCACGTGTTTCTGAAAAAAATTTTGTTGCTTATATACAGATAGTATTACACTTAAATTGCTGTAGTTCTAAATAATCACTATTTTTATTTGATTATATGTTGATGTTTAGAAATGCTAACATAAATATTACTTTTTTTATTGTTCTTTGCACCAAGTTATTGTTAAATGCACTAAGAACCTATTAAAACATACCAAAACCTATAATATTGTAATTTTCTAGAATAATAAATATGCTAAAGTGAATTAAAATTATCAGTTAAATATTTTTTTTTCCTTATTGAACATGGCATTGAGTTTAAGAAATGTTTGGAAAAATTATGTAATTTTTAGCATAAATGCTCCAATTTCTCCCAATTGTACCCAAAAATTTAAAAATTTCAGAAATCTATTTTAAAATAGCATTTCTAGCTAAGTCATCTAAATTGACTCCCAAAATATGACTTTTTTTTGCAACATTTGAATACTAATAGTTTTTGTCCCATTTTGTATTGCAATATTATTTATAATTTCATAATTAAACATTTGACTTTAAAAAAAAAAAAAACTATGTGTGTGAATTTTTAATTGGTTACAAGTTTTCCTAGAAAAAATTTATACGATAAGTATTTTCAACACAAGTGACGCTGCCATTTTTGCAAAGAATTTGTTTTGTGTCCAATTCTAAAAATAAATACAAAAAAAATGTTAATTTGGGAATTTATAACATTTCCCACCAAATTAGAAAAATTGCATCAAGGAAATGTTATATGGCGTAACATACTAAATTTCCAAGTTAAAGGTTGATTACACAAATTGAATTCGTAGTTATGTTTTAATTCATTATGATCAGTTACGTGCCTGTCTAGAGAAAACTTATTTGATAAGCATTTTAAACAAGTGACAATGTCATTTTTATGGAAAGTTCGATATTTGCAACTCCAATAAATATATATATATATAAAACTTTTATTTAAATATCTGCTATATTTGAATTCTGATTTATAATTTCTTTAGTTACTGATTGTCATAATAAAAATATTAATTAAAAATCTGAATTATCATAATCGAAACTAAATACATATAAATTTCGTTATTATGAGAAAAATGCTTACAATATTTAACAATAATAATAATGAAAAATTACAGGCATGTTAAAAGAACTCTATATCGTTTGTATGACACGGCCATGTGCCACAAAATAACGGGGGATGAGTTAATCTTAAAAGTTTTGTTTTCATATATGTACATCAATGTAGTTTTTAAGTAAATTTCGAATTATATCATTTAAAAACTGGATTTTATGTGATAAAGTAATAAAAAAAAAACAATATGTATGAATAAAGTTTGAAAACGTTATAAATTTACAATATATATGTATTAATGCTTTTTCCAGAAAGCTGAAGTTTTAAAACCTTGAACATTAATGGAATTTAGGCGTCATTGAAAATAGAGGGGAATTAGAAATGAGTGTAATAGTGATGGATGAACAGATATTCATTGTATAATTATCTTATTGCACATCCTACCCATGTGATGTTCATTTTGAGAAAAAGGAAGCCTTATGCTGCTGATGTCAACAAAACTAAATTAAAATATGGAATTTTAGAATTTATTTCTTTAAAATTGCTTTACTTTATATTTTTTATTTATTCAGTCATTTTGTTACACATGGATAGGTAAAACTCGGGTGCCCAATTGCAATTAAAATTTTAGGCCCCTTATGTTGAGATTGTTATATTTTGGAGTTATCGAAAATAGAGTACGATAATAACTAGATGTCGTTTAAGTAAAAAAGAAGTCTTTTATTATTTTGACATAAGATGATGCATATAACATTTGACATAAGGCAAATAATAAAAGATTTTCAATTAAAATTAGTAAAAGTAATATAAACGTACATTAGTTAAATCTAAAAGAAACTGTAAAAAAATTTACATTGATAAATACAACCCATGATTTAAATTTTCAACAAAAATTAATTATTCAAGAAAAAATTAGTTATATCTAAAAAAGAAACCTCTTTTAAAATTAAAGCAATCGGGAGATCTTTTAATTTGGGATTGAAGAAGTTAGGATTGTAGAATTATAATAATTTTAGAAATGATGTGTGATAGGAGGAATTCACGTGATTCCCTATCAGATGTATCAAAATTGTTCAGCGAAGTTAAATGCA